TTCCTGCCTTAAGTGCGGTGCGACATCGGCGAAGAAGTTCGCTTCTCAAATTCCTTATATTTAGTTGTAAATGTCTGATCAGCTGAATATCATCTAAATTTATACTAGGTGCTACATCAATCCTATAACAAAACACCGTATTTACATAAGCTCGTCTTAATGATACAGTGTCCTCTCTATAACCAAATCGATTTCGTTCTATGATTTATTTCTGCGAAGTAACGTAACAATAATCAATAAATGACAACAACAATTGTGAAAAAATGTTTTGTCAAAAGTCTTTCCAAATAGCAGAAAAATAGAGAAAATTTCTCTGTCGATAATAACAAAAATAAAAAGGAAAATATGTAAAATAAGTGCAGCACAGAGAAAACCCCATTAGTATTCAGAAAGAAAAAACGGATAGTGTAGTTATTGACCAAATCGGTTATGTGTGTACACCCTTTTCTTTGTGTATCACAGTGCCGGTATATATGGCAAGAATGGTAGACAAAAACATTAAATAGAAAATAATTTTAGAAAATATGTGTGGAAAAAAACCAGGTTGTTCTACACTTTTTTTATGATAAGGAAGGTCTGAAAAGTGGGAGATCGCATATGTATAACTCAGTAAGAGACTAGAGGTAAACAAATCAATTCAATTTTCAACAACAAAGTATAAAAATACCAAAAAAAAGCGAAAAAAATGCATCCAAACATGTAAGAGATGATATGTAAAGAAAAGCTGAACAGTTAGAAAAAAAAACGGTCATCACATGAGTCCAAATCCTTCAGCATACTGTATAGCTTTCACTAATTTTTCTTGTAGTTTTTCTTTGCTAGAATATTCAGGCAATAGTAATGCATTAAAACATGTATGAGCAGTTGGGAGTGAGTCAGTATCAGCTGTTTTCCGTACAATAACTAATTTTAATTTAGCCAGACCTCCGATCGGAGTGCGATCACTGCCTGTTGTAAAACGAAGAAATTGTCGTTTCTGATCATCGGTTAGACTATTCATTATTTCCCAAAAATTTCTAAAATGAAAATTAAAAACCTCAGTACACTTAACTACAATGGATACAAAATTAACTATCACTTACTTAATTGTGGGATGTTCAGCAGAATATCCTCCATCGTATTCAGTTGTAGACGCTAGTTGATCAAAATCAAGCACCTTAAGAAAATTTAAAATTTCAAAGATTAGCTGTTTTAAACTACCGTGTGACAACCTACCTGACTTCCGGCTACTAATAATTCAACTTCGTCTGGTCTGAATAATTTTCTTAAGTAACTATCATATGTCACTAATAAAAATCCATGATAAAATGGATGAAATTGTCTCTCAATACTTTTATTCAAGATATAATCACTGTACAAACGAACAAATTCCTAGATATAGCAACAGAAATGAATGATTTAGGTGTTTTTACTTCCTGCAACCACATACCTCTCTATTTTCGCTTGTAACAGAAATATTATCGCCATCTTCTTTGAGATCATATGTCAAACGACTACCCGTCGCATCTACTAATGATACTCGAAATGTTAAACTAAATACATCTTCAATACTTCCACCTTCCGTTAGTTCGTTATAAGATAATAAACGTTCTAAACTTTGATATATCATCTACAACAACATAATCAAAACTTATAATCATCTTAGAAGAATAATCTTTGCTTTTTTTTTCTCTATTTGTTGCTTAAAAGCTTCTTGCCAAGAATCTGTTCTACAGGATAACAGTTTTTCTATTCCTTAAACCGTACTGCTGATATATACATACCGGGTGTGACTTTTCCAAGTCTTCGAAAGTGCCCAATTTACCCATTAGTTTTCTGTACACCACAGGAGCAAATTTAATATCCAGTATGATATTGTTATAGATTGCTAAACACAAACTGAGAAATGAAGCCAGTAAGGAAAATATGTGCTATTTTTTATATCTACCAAGCCCAATAAGCATTCCTATGAGTGTATATTCACGATCCAAGTCATCACCCGCCGATGGATTGAACCATATTGATCTTGTTTCTTCATCAAACATAAACATACCTGCAAAAAATTAAATATTTTATATATCTCCGTTTGAATCATATTTTTCAGATATTACCATATTCTGGTTTGAATACTTGTTCAATAATTAACTGAAAAAATTCTTTGCTAACACCTCCTTCATCAACACCTGTCAATAGAAGCGGATCAAAAATAAACCTAAAAAGTATCGCGTCTACATTTTATATGTTTTACCTTGTTCTCCGTTAAACTCGACAAACAGTTGCTTTTTCAATTCGTGTGGACGTTCAATGCCTTGATATTCCAGCTAAAATAATCAATTCATGTAGGTTGATGAAATGGGATTTATTTTCTCAATTACTTACAGCTATTAATGCATCTTCAATAAGATGACTTCTTCTCACGTTTATCTTAAAATATGGATTTAATCTTATACCAAATAGACTATGTACAACAGACGCATGTCTTTCACGATACATTTTTATTTTATTTTCAATATTCAGTAGCGCTAAACAAAAAACTGAAAGTGTTCATGAAGATCAATTTGTTCTTTATGTACCTATTTTATTTATTGTTGTTAGAAAAAATGGATAGGTGATAAATGAGAATGAAATAGATGCTTTATGACGATAATAATTTAGATATTCTTTCATTATTTCTATTTTTTCATTGACAAATTCATTAATGAAATCTTCATACGGTAAGAGACCAGAACGATATTCATTTGGTTCTAAACCTCCTAGTACTTTCTAAATACGCATAAAAGAAATAGATCCATCATTCAAGGATACAACCGTAGATATTTACTTGTAAATTATCATCAAATGGATTATCATCTTCTTCATCTTTTACTCGACCCGACGATACCCGTCGTCTTCGTGCCGTCGTTTCTTCATTAGTATTTTCATTTTCTCGCTCTGATTCGTCTTCCTCATCTTCATTCCGTTGTTCGCGACGTTTTGTAATTTCAGTACTCATTAGTTTATCTTGAACTTTCTCTAATTCAATATGTTCTAGTTTATCACGTTTACCACCGAGTAAATTGGCATAAAAAAACATCCGTAATACATCCAATGCATCTTTCATTCCTAAGAAGAACCAAACATAAGCCAGAGATTTATTTTCATTTGCATTACATTTGCCTATATGTATACCTGCTTCTTGTGATAGTAATTTTTCACTATTACTGTTAACAGCTGTATGTTCATCCCAAGTCATTGTGTACATGGTCAAATATTGTCGCAAATGCGTAACGTAAACGGACAATTCGGAGGATGTCATTTTTGAATAAATTCGAATAATTTTTGCTTGACATTGTAGAGATAATTTTGTTATCGAATGATAAAAACATCTTGCACAATCGAATATATATTCAGGATAAGATAAATAGTGTATTTCAAATAGAATAAAAAACATATTCAAAAAATAACTGTCATTTTCCACTAATGAACGAGAAGAACCTAAGTCTAGGGTAATGCTTGATGTGAGAGTTTTTATAGCTTTATTCAATGGAATCAGTAACTGATCTTCGTATTGAGTACATAATAATTTTAGAGAACGGCGCATCGAAACAAAATCCAATGTTAACTCATCTGTTGATAACTGCACCCTGTCATCATAGACAATATTAGCTAAAAAATGTCAAATCAAAAGAATCAGCATACAATGAGCTTGTACGTAAGTTACGCATTCTGTGATTATAGCAGAATGCATGTTTATGCATACTTTTTGGAATTGTACTTGTGTTATTGTTATTCTGTACTGAATTTCCACCATAATTTTCTGCATTTGAATTTAGTAATTTATTTTCAAATTCTTGTTTTAAAAAACATCTTGATAATAAATTTCGATCGGAAAATATCAAAGTAATCGTTTCGATCAATAAACTCCAATCATTACTTATTTGACATTTTTCAATTAATTCATTTAACGCTGCCTCATTAAATCCAATAGTGGGCGTTATTGTTGTTCTTACTGTTGTAGGTATTTCTTCACATAGCTTAGCATCATGTAATTTACTTAATTTTACTGCTTCAACAGCAGCCACGTTTTTATCGTTGAACAGCACACGATCATATTTAAATGATGGACTAGAAAAACAATAAATATTGGAACATTGACTATTACCACAGCCAATGGTTAACTGATAAAAATAACGTTGAATTAATTTTTTGCTTTCAGAAGACGACATCTTATCACATATTGTTCGAGAAAAAGACCTAAAATTAAACTTCAGAGGTTCAGTGTAAGAAATTCCCCAAAACTAGCGCGGTACAATCGAAGATGATCAGTCGCCAATGGGATCAAAATAAATATAACTCTTACAACAATAGTAGTGCAGGGATGTAGCCCGAATTTCGCAGGTGAGTATATGCTGCGCAACACTTTTTATCAAACTTTGTTATATGAAATACTGCGTTGTTAAAAATTGTCTGGAAAAGTTTACACGGAAAAACTAGAAGAAAATCGTAGCGAAATAATCGAGAATAATCCAAATCATTTACTACATCACTACAGCGATTTCGTTGCAAAGTTCATTTTCTTATGTTCTTGATAGATCATCAGATGAAAAGCAAAGAAACTGGAAATATCGAAGATGCTATAATGATGAATGGACAAAAAAAGGTGTTATTGAGATTACTAATGAAATTTTCTTTCTGCACTTCACGTTTTTAAGCGTGAAAGTTCTCCGTTTAGTCATATTTATATACGTAATGAAAAATTCTTATTTCTATTATCCTGAGCACGAAAATACAAGATGCTTACGAACGTTTTCTAGAATTTTGTTTGCCACACTTAACGGAAAAACGCAGGTCAACTTAGAAGAACATGTGATAGGTTTACATTAGTCAATGCCACCAAAATCCATGACGCATACTCTCCTAATCAGTCTTTTGTACAAAAATGCTCCATTCGCAGAAAACGAACCAACAATGTTTTTAATGTTGACCACTACATATAAAAGTACTATAAATCAATTTCAATAAAAAGCAGCCAGTTGGACACAATGTTAATGATAGGAGTCTTAGAAATGTGTGTGAAATTAGCATTAGTGTTCAATCCTCGTGACATATGTCGCTAGACGCACAGTGCTTGGAAACTGTACAGCTAGGTTGGTGCAACTACTATGGTTTTCAGAAATTGTAGGCATTTCAGCTTTATCATTATATTCTGGTTACAAAAGAATGGCAAAAAGTGTAAGTAACACACCTAATTTTAGGAAGCAGAAACAGCTACTGTGTGAATTAAATAAAATCCTTTAAGAGTTCTGGGACCTGTTTCTTAAAAAAACTTAAGTAGAAAATTTTACTTAAGTCAAAAAAGACAAAGACTTTTTTGGACTTAAGTTTGACTTAAGTCAGATTTTCTACTTAAGTTTTTTTAAGAAACAGGCCCCTGTTTTCTTACTTTTAGAGCGGAAGGAGAAAACCGTTTTCCGACGATGAGCAAGCAGCGGCAGGAGACTCTGTAACACAATATACAAGGTTTGAATATATATTAAATTTGAATTTAAAGGTAGAAATCATTTTTGTTTTAGATTTGAAGACTTTCTAAGTGCACAGATATCAGAAAACGATCTGAGATACTTAAAAGTAATCTATATTTTTTACAATCTGTATAACAGGATGCTACAATAATGAATTAGCAGCTCAAAAGATAATATTAATTTTGCTTAGGATTCAGATGTGGCTAAAGAATTTGTTGAACTTGGTTATCGAGGAATAGGTCATGCTGTTAGTCGAAAAGATTTTGAAGAAAGAAAACGCCGAGCCGGAATTGTTTTAAGTACGAGGAGAGAAGGACCACCGTCAGTATTAATCTCATTTTAAGCAGAAAATAATATCTAATTCTCCTCTATATTTTAGACCCATAACTTCAGATTCTCTTACCGTTATAGAACCATTCGCAAAAGCACTAGCATTCCGAGAAGAAGCGAATCGGACAACAAAACTTTTAGTAAATTGGTTCGTAATGATTAAGATCATTTTCAAATCGTTTTTTACTGATTGTTTAGACAATTATTTTTATTCGGGACAAAAATTCAGTTGGTCGTGAAATATCGGCTTATATTGATTTTGCCCATCGATTAAAACTCGAGGATTTTACAGGATTTTTTACTGGTGACAAGAAATTAGTACCATTGTCGTCTGATTTGAGGTTATAATTATTATAAGACTTTTGTTCATGGCTTTTAATTCTGATTTATTTAGTTATTATAACTGGGATACTCATGCATGTACAACAAACGATACAAATAATTTTAGTTTATTAGCAAATGCAGTTAGCGGAATTCGATTTCGATGTACACACGATAGAAAAGTGATTTTTGTTGATCCAGAAGTATGTATGAAGAATAAAACTTTAACTGTTGAAGTTCATGTTAATTTTATTCTAGTCTAAACAGTATGGTGATGGTACAACAAGAACAGTAGGTGCTTCGCTTATAACATGATTTAAAACAGAAAAACCATTACTCTATACACTCAAAAAAAGTATGTCAGCCAATGTGTCATGTCCACCTAGAATAGTGCGTACGCTGTTCCAGCGCGTAAATCAGACACTTTGTTTTTTTCCAGCGAAGGCAGCAGAACTCCGTATGGACTGAACTGGATTAAAAATTTGATCTCATACGGAGCTCTGCAAGGAAGTTATTATTCCTCATCCATCCAACTAACTTCAACAATAATACATACTATCTTCGAATATTTTATAGGTTGTCTTTGCACCAACGTATTTGCAAGTTATTCTTTACGATCATTACTTAAGAAGAAAAAAATTTTAGAAATATTCTTTTTTTCGAAAAACATCATTGTCGATATGAGAAACACAATTGTCATGAATACTATTCAGCGTATTTCTTACTACAAACAGAAAAATTTATACTGGAAAAGAATTATTTCGACGCATCCATTCACTCAATATAACACTTTCAACAAATGGTTCACTTGGCTTATGATTTTATAATAAAAACTTCCCAAAACTAGACCACATAGGATCTATTTCAAGCAGTTAGAGTTTGAGTGAACTGGTAAACTACAGGCACCTATGATTACGACCGCAACTGAACAAACGATGTGCTTGGCGAGACAGTATCGTTTTCAACAAAACAAAATCAAATAGTCAAAAACGGTATCGTGCGGTTAGCACACCATTTTCAGACCGTGAACAGATGATCATTTTGCCGTAAAATAAAATCGTGCGTTTTTTCAGTAGTCTCGAAAATCTTATTATCACTTTTAAAAGCTTTAAGCTTTTTAGCTCCTCGTGCTCTAAACTACTTTATGATCAAGTTTTCATGACTTCTTTTTACAGTAGAATATGTGAGTGAAATCGAATTCAGTTTCACTCGTGAATCAGATCGCCCATCGCTGTTCTGGACTTTTCCTAATAAAAATGGAAGGCCATACTAATCGACAGAGAATTCGATTCTCTACAAGCTGGTGCGTTTCTTTTGAAGTTTAGACTCAAAACAAGCTTTTTAATAAAGTTTGAACTTTTAAGATTCTCACACAAATCTAAGAAAGTGAAAACATTTTTTCAGCTTTATTTTCATGCTGATCTATATTAGATGCCTAAAACTAAGTCCGATTTGAAAATGAAATCCTTTGAACAATGTTTAGTACTCCAAACTTTATTGGGAAAAACGTGCGTCACGACGATAAAACACAATTATTCAGGAATGAAAAACTCTTTGGGAAGATTCATTTTTAGTAATCAGTACCTCGTTTACTCCTCTACAAACTTTGCTCGAGGCGCTTTTTATTAGCACTTCTAAATTTGCACCAAATTAGCTTTTAATGAGAAGAACTTCGAATTACGGCCTTTTTTTTGTGACAGCGTCACGCGCCGAAAGACGGTTCTAAAAATTCGAGTCTTTAACCATATACCTTCATTTTTAGGTAGGTAGCTCTTACACTTTTTGAGAAAACCTGAAATTACTGTGTCAAAAATATCACAGTGTCACGCTTGGACAACAGAGGTGGGATCGGTTCGGTTTCAGACCGAACCGAACCGAAATCAGTTCGGTTTAAAAGTTTTAAGAAATCAGGTCGGTTCGGTTCCGTTCGAAAACTTATATACCAAAAGTAGAGAATATAGCGAGCTGCGTCGAATGGCACAAGAATGAAGTCTCTAGCTCTCACACTTTTTGAGAAAACCTCAAATTACTGTGTCAAAAATATCACAGTGTCACGCTTGGACAAGCCGTATAGCTCCCGTCACACTGTTCTCTATATTCAGCTCTGCGCGAATCCTAAACTAAACTAACTAACTCTAATCACATGTATTTTTGTAAAATAACAATCCCGGCGAGAGAGAAAGAAATCTGCATCACTCTTCATCCGAATGCTTTTAGAAACCGGCCAAACGAAAACTTTTGGCAGAATTTCAAGTGTTTTTTGTCAAACATTTTATTAAAACATAAAAGGATACATAGACAAAAGACAAAACAATCCGTTAGGACTCAGATGATGATTGTGGATCTTTCACTGTCAATTTTTCTTCAGTTTTGTATTTTCCCTGTTTG